GCGGGTGGATTACATGGATTAACTTTCATAGACGCTGCTCTCAAGTTGGAATAAAATAATTATATTTTCATATTAATATAATATTATTTTATTTTCAGAATTTTCTATTAATTATTCAAAATATATTTAATTTAAAACCTTCTAGTCATTTGCAAAGATCAACCTTATGAACCCAACCAACTTGATGTAATTATTAATTATTTGTAAAATTAGTTTGAATTCTTTATAATTTAAAAATTTTTTCATAAATTTTGTAAGTTAATCAATGATTGAAATTATATTTTCATAAAAATATTTTGAAATCATTTGAGTAATACGAATTTTCTTATTTATTATAATTGTGCATAAATTATTTGCCATATAGAAACCCTTTTAATTTTCTACAATTATGATTAATTTTAAAATAAATTATAAATATCAGACTTTATTAATGGATCTTATAACTTCAACTATTTCTTAACCTATTATCATAATCTTTTTATTATATAAACAGAAACTATATAAAGATTTTCGTAGTAAATATATATTTTTATTAATTGCATATCATTATCATTTTTTATGGATAAAATTAGGATTTTAATGCAATTGTTTTGCTAGATTTATATTTTCCCTTTGCGCCTAATAATGGAATAAATTTTAAGAGGTCATCTTGAAAGACTCTAAGAATATTATGACTTAACATGACTTGAATATACCTTAAATTACTTTAAGAACACTTACGAGTTATAAATATATAATATGAAAAAAATAATACATGGCTTGAAATTCTGATAACAAAAATTTGCACCACAAAGCAATTTTAGTTTTGATTATATGAAAAAATCTTCAAGAAAAAATTATTTGAATAATACAAAATAAATCTGGTATTTTTATTTATATTAATGATATCCCAACAAAATCTTTGCTAAAATGTTATCAATAAAGCTCTATTACAAAATCTGACATTATAAATATATACTCATTTTATATTAGAGTCAATGCGCTTTTAAAGTCATTTTTATACTTCTTTTTTTGACATTTTCTAGGAAAGAAAATTTATTTACTTTAAATTTTCTGGTGCAATGAATGGTGGTTGAGATATATATTTTTTTAATTTAGTTAACGAGTTTATACAAGTATAATTCCAAACTAGAGATTATCTTTTAGTTTAGTGTGTCTGTTATCTGTGTTATTAGAGAATGAGACCGCTATGCTCCTTCTTAGTATCCACAATGCAATGATGGTATCCTTCTCCAGATGTGTGTGATGACAATCCTATTGAGCCAAAGGCCAATTGAGATTCGTAGTTTTTCGGGGATATCAGATTTTGACTAGGAATACCTTCTAGCGTCTAGCCATTTATAACCATTATAATTGTATATAAATTAAAGATTGGTAAGCTTTTCGAATTTTATGTTAGCTAGGCCTTTAGTTTTACGTCAGATGTGATATTTTGGTGATTAACGGGAAATGAAGACCACACATATAAGGAAATTATGGATCATATGTTAATACCGGATTTAGAAAGTGTTTCTTGAACCCATAAGGGTAAAAAATATATATTTAATATTGCTCATAAAGGGTTGTCATGATCATAGATTTTAATTTAGATAAATCTAGATTGCTCATTTTGTGAATGAGTGCAAAGCGTGTGGAAGTTTTAGGATAGCGTCGCCTGGGAATAAAATTATTCCATTTCCACTTTTTGTAATGTTTACAGGAGAGCAATTTTAAAAATTAAGTTTATTTGGATATGATTTAACTTATTTCATATTTATTTATAATTTTTTTCTGTAAATAGAAAAGTATAATTAAACAAAAAATGATTTATGTAAAAGAAAAGTCAGTTTTGACAAAAAGGATATATATGAGGTTTTTGATAAGGGAAAAAAAGAATGGTAATATGAAGCCGTGGTAAATCATCTCTTTTATTTTCATCAAGAAGCTGATTATTGCATAAATTTTATAGATGGATGATCTATGGTTAGTAAATTTGGATCTAGTGTTTTAGAAAGTAGGCTGTCATCTCTAATGATATACAGAAAGGAAGAATAGTTTACATTTGATTAAGTTTATTAATAGTTTGGTATTAATTAGCATAAAATTAAGAATCTTATTTTTATAACTTATATTATTTTATATTTTATTTGTATTTTAAGTGCCACTTGTTAAAGATTTAAATTACAAACCTATTTGGGTAACATTATAAATAAATTAATTCAATAATTATTAAAGGATTTTGGTATATAAAACGAATTTTTGAGGGCATTATAATGGTGTTTATTAACATTTTGGTTAATTAATGTGGTTTCTTAACATAATTATAATTAACTAATAATCTTAATTTTTTAAAAAAAATAATTATGATTTACAATTGTAATTTTATTTTCAGAATCATAACAAAATTTTGGGTTTAGCATCAAATCAAATGTCTATTTATTGATTTCTTTATAAATTATAATTTATATTATTATTTTGATTAATTAATGTGGTCATTTTTTTCTTTCTTAACACAATTATATAATTTTTTTTTAAAAAATAATTGTGATTTACAATTGTTATTTTTTTTTACACAATCATAATAAAATTTTGGGTTCAGCATCAAATCAAATGTCTACTTAGTTGTTTTCTCTATAAGTTATAATTCAATAAGAGTGTAACAATAATAAAAAAAAACTTAAGATATTATGAAAAAAATTTTGGGTTCAGCATCAAATCAAATGTCTACTTAGTTGTTTTCTATATAAGTTATAATTCAATAAGAGTGTAACAATAATAAAAAAAAACTTAATATATTATGAAAAAATTTTATTATAATAAAAAAGTATTTTCAGAAAATTCTATACATTTTAAAAGGTGAATATGGAACAAAAAATTAACTCTATCTTCAATAATTTAAGTAAAAAGGTTCCATATTCAAAAATACAATAAAAAAATATAGTTTTTTAGTTAAAGATAAAATTATTTTAAGTTTAATTTATGTTTTATTTAAAAATAAATTAATTAGACTCCATAAATGAATTTTATCTGGTTTATAATATTTCAGGAAACTTAATATAATATAAAAGATATATAGAGAATATATTCGAAGGTTTAATTCTTTATTATTGTAGTTCATTAAATAAATGTTTGATATAAGTGGCATCTGATTTAGGAAAGCCTGGTTTTTAAGATAATAGGTTTTATAAAAATAAAATTATATTTCATTTTAATAAAAAGTGATATAATTTTATTTTAACAAAATGAAATATAATTTTATTTAAAAAAAATGAAAAGATGAAAATATATTCATCGAAAATGTATTAACGATAATATCAATCAATTAATATATCATTCAGTAAATTATATCTTAAAACAAAAATACAATTTATTTATACATTTTTTATTGATTACAGTTCTCCCCACTACGTGAATTTGTCAGAATAACATAGTAGGGGGTTTCGAAACTCATTGTTATTGATCTAGGGAAATAATTATGCATTTTATTTATTACACTAAAATTGCAACTTCAACCCATTTGGTAAAAGCGTCTATGCAAGTTAACCAATACTTTTCAGATAGGGATCTATCAAATCAATGTGTATTTGTTTAGAAGATCGAGTAGGATGTTTCAATTGTATAAAGGCACTTTTCTAGCTCCCTTCCTGACAACTCTTGCAACATTTAACGAAATCTTCATCATCACGATCAAGATTTGCCCAAAAAACATAATACCTTAATGATGTCCCAATATCTCAGGATGTTCTTGATGGATAACATACAAAACTTCTATCTTTAGATTATCACGGATAATAATTCTATCATTATAAAATAATAATCCTTATTCGAACGAAATATTATCTTTAATTAAAATAAAAAAATTTTAAAAACTCCGAATAATTAATATAACAATAATTTTTAATTAATTTAATGATCTCTTTCAGTTTGAAATTCGTTTCACTCACGAGTATACAGAATGAAAGATAAATCTTCTACTAGATTAATATTTTCTGATTTAATCTTCGAATATTTTTTTTTGTAAACTCATTGGTTTTTGCTTTTTCTACCACCAAGCGGGATAAAGCGTCGACACATTTGTTTCAATTTCCAGATCTATATTATCTCATAGTCATAATTTAATAGCTTCGTCGCCCACTAAACGGTTATTTGTTATACCTTTATCGCCTAAAATATATTTTAAAGTTGTGATATTAAATCTTCTTAGAAGTGTCACAAGAAATCATGGCAAGAATATCGATTGAATAAGGAATTATTTTATACTCTTTTGATAATATATTTTTAACTTTATTGAGGTGATCAAAACCAACTAACATTTTTACTCACATAGGAGCGCAATTAGAATATAAATCTTATATATACCATTCATAATAATTCACCCTCCCAAAAAAAAAACTAAAGTATAATTCTTTTACATTTATTTTTACTCATATAGGAGCGCAATTAGAATATAAATCTTTTATATATACGATTCATAATAATTCACCCTCCCAAAAAAAACTAAAGTATAATTCTTTTACATTTGAGGGTGTTTTACAATTTTTTATGGCACCCAAATAAGTGACTGTTTCCAATTTTAAACTTAACGGTCGTCAGTTAGTTCAGACTTGTACATTAACCATGATCAAAATTCATTCTCGCCAGCAATTATTACTTCGTCTAGAAATACACTAACCATAGGAAATCTCTTCAATAAGTTTTGCATAAAGCGTTGAAATATTATCGGTGCTTTAGTCAACCCAAAACAAATTTTCATGAACCGATAATAACCGACATTAGTCGAATTTACTAAAAGTTCCTACATTCTGGACTAACTCCGAATTGTAAAAATAAAAATACGTCTATTAACTATATCGTGGAAAATTTCACCATTTGCGATCCTATTTGTCAGGTCGACGATAGTAAATTGTTATCTATCGCTAATTATTTGTTGATAGTTAAACGAAAATCTCCGCATACCCGTAAGACACCGGATTTCTTTATGATAATTACCGTTGGTATAGTCCAAGTGATTGGAGTTGTTGTTAGATCACCTTTTCGATAACGCCTTCATCTAAAAGTCTAACCAACTCCGCTTTAACCGCTTGACGCAACGGAATTGGAACTTTTCTTGCTGGTAAATCTATCGGTAATGCGTTCGGTTGTATGCGAATAACTGCTTGTTGGTGTCCTATTTCTCCCAATTTATTTTCAAAAGCTTGAGGAAATTTCAATGTATTAGTAATTAAAGTGGGAAATTCATATTTATATATTATTTAACCGAATTCCGGAAGCTTTATATCGAATTCTCTGGCATCCCAAAAATAAGGAAATTCTCTCCTTTAACTACCCAAATAAGGTAAAAATTTAGAATTTTTTTTTATTTCGACTTTCACTGTCTATTTACCCAACACTTTAATTTTTATATTGCCCCATAGTTCATCAACAGGTAGATAAGTTTGCTAATTAATCTGCAGCCAACTTCATCTATCACTTGTACCCAGCACATGTATCAAATTCCATAGTAAACCGAAAACCATTTATTTTCACATCAATGGTAGCTTTATTAGGAAACAAAAGGCGAGGTGTCTATGGTAGAATCGTCTGTATGGCATGAGTTTCAATTACAATATTTTTCTATGTGTTTTGCCTTGCCGCATCAAAAGTAGATGATTTTTTCTGTATGAAGTTAAGTTTACAACTAGATTTATAATTATTATGAATATATTTATAATGACTAATTTTTTTGGCATTATAACTATTATTATTGAATTTATTACCGATATTATAACTATTAAGCCTAAAATACTTATTTTTGGAACCTTACGTCGTCTTGTATTTAATGATTTTGTTAACTTGTACCTGGGTTTCCTTTTCAAAGTAAAAAAACGCGATAGCTAAACGCGCGGTATCTTCAAAAGTGATAATACCTACGGTATACTGAAGCTCCTTATCCAACTCGGGTAGCCTTACTCAGATAATAATGTCTCTTAAAAGTTCATAAAAAGCGATTTTAAATTATATAAGCAAATATTTTTTAATTTGATCGAAAAATCTATAATAGTTTCTCCTCATCTTTTTAAGGTATAAAAATTTTATAAATATACGCGAAAAATTTATAATAATTGTTATCTTCTATTTTAATGTAGAAATAAAATATTACCTCTTGAAACTATGTAAATAAATTAAATTAACCCAAAGATCTTTATTGTTATATTGATTATTAGCATCATTTAATACTAAATTATGAAATTTGAATATTCAATACATACATAAATTAATAACTAGTTCGTTCGATTTTCATTGTGATAATCATATTTATCATAATTTAAAATAATATCAATATTCATAATACTAAATTAATAATAATTAAAAAATTTATTACATACTTAAAAATTATTAACTTGTTTATAGGATTTTCATTGTGAATATTTCTCACCATTTAAATTATTATCATTGTTTATAATTATATTAAATATATTATAACTAGTAGATAGCCCGTCAAAAATGACGGGGAATAAGAATTTTCTTCTTACTTTTATGCTAGATGTTACCTGTTATTTGAAAATACTATCCAATTTTTATTCTTTTTATCCCCTCCCCCCTTCAGGCCGAGTTTAATTCATTAAAACCAAGTGTAAATACTATAGTTTGAGTAAGAATAAATTTAAAGCTTTAACTTCTACCAAGATTATTTGTTAAATAATACTGATCACCTATATCTAATATTTAATATTAAAAAATATTCCCAGGCAAATTACTAGCCATAATTATTTTGAAAAATTCTTCCAAGCCCAATGAAGGATCATAATAATTTTGGTAGTTGAGAACTGAAATAAAATATTTAAATAAGCATAATGAATTTAAAAATACAATCAAAATCAGATATTCATGGGCCTTGGTTTTTAGATCAGGTCAAGCCCAGGCCTGCAAAAAAATTGTTTTAGGCCAATGTCTGAGCCATAATTAATAATAAAAATTATCAAGCAGCTAATAATAATTTTGAAAAATTTTCCCCAAACCCAGCCCAATATAAAAATATTTTCCAAGTAATAATTTTATAAAAAAATTTTCTCAAACCTGGCCAACCCATAGTAATTTTCAAAATTTTTTCCCAAACCTGAAGATAGGTAAATCTCTAAAAACCATATCTATTTTTTATTCTATTTTAACCCAGCTCACCCCGACCAAAGCCAACCCATTAAGACTAAGAGTGAATACTATTTTTTTTAATTAAAATTAGCTTTTACCTGAGGGCCATATAAATATTGTGTGTTAAATATTATACCTCTGCCTAATATTAAAAAAATTCCCAAGCCAACTCCTCGCATTTGGGAAAATTTTCTTAAACTCGCCAAAGACTTTTGATAGTTGAGAACTGAAATAAAATATATATAAAAAGTCACAATGCATTTAAAAATACAATCAGAATATGAAAGTTGTATGGGCCTTGGTTTTTGATCAGGCCTTGCCATATCTTCAAAAGAAATTTTCAGGCCAATTTCTAGCCCATATTTAAAATTAAAAAATTTACAGGAATCTAAGACTATAATCAAGCTATGTCCAAGTCCATAATAATGGTAAAAAATATTTCCCAAGTCCAGGAAAACCCAAAATAATTTATTTTTTCCTTGGATCCAGAAAAATAAGTCTGATTAAGGGGTTTATAAATATTCTGTCTAATATGTACATATTTTTTCGCCATTTTATATGGAAAATTTTAAAAATTATCATCAAATGAAGGGTAAATATCTGATTTGCCTATCATTATACTGGTTAGCTCCTGGTATTTATATAAAATTCATGAATACATATTAAAATACCATGCTGAAAATATGTTCATCTTAATTTAAATTTTAAACAAACCACCACTTCCAAATGATTTATTACTTTAGTTACAAAATATAAAATTAAATTTAAGACATTGTTATTAAATTACAATAGAAAAAATAAAAAGATATGTCTTAGTTAACACATAATAGAAGGTTAACTTCAATTAAAGTCAAATAAGTAAAACAAAAAGGTTATACATTTAATCAAAAATGTTATAATAAGTTATGAATAACATACATTCTACAATTATGAAGTTATGAGAAAATATACAAAATTTTCTCATCTTATGAGGTGTTATTTAAAAATTTATATTTATTTGGGGTTATTCTTTTTCCATTATATTTATAAAATATATTAATGAAGTATATATATTTAGTAATTTTATTTGTGTGTTATTCATTTGTAAAATTTATAATCTATAAATTTATTCCTGCTAGATGAAAGTTTTGTGTTCCAAGGTGTGCTTTGTGTGTGCCTTACTTATTAAAAGCCCTTAAGGAAGGATGCATTCCATAATCTATTAAATATTTGAATTTTATACAACTATATATCTTTCAATTAGGTAATTTTTATGCATCACGGCACTAGATATATCCCCTTTTGGGTGATGGAAGCCACTTAATTGAGTTTTATTAAATGCAATGATATGCCTAATTTTTATATTAAATATTAACAGTTGAGTCTTTAAATCTTCTTCTGAAATTTAGATATTTGCATACCATCTTTAAATCTTCCATCAAGTTTAATTGAAATCTGGGTATATATTTGAGTATCATAATAATATTTTCAGAGTTTCCATATGATTTATAAATAGAACTGACTAAATTAATGCTTAGTTTGTAAGGTGATTACTATTGGACCGATTACTCTATAATCATTTTTATTGGACAAATATATTTTAAAAGAACACTATTGGCTAAATTTGATTGACGTTTTTTGAGGATTATTATAATAGATATATTTCATAATAAAAAATAAATATTATTTCTTTCATTAATAAATAAAATATCCTCTTTTATGATTGTGTATTATAGTTTTTTCTAAAATGATTTTACTTGTTTTATAGATATGCAATATTTTAATTTTTTTTAATAAAATATAAAATTTTTGAAAAAACCCATATTAGAAATTATATGACTAGATATTTGCAATTCTATTGTTTTAAGAACATAAAATTATAATACAGTGAAAAATATATAATATATTTAAAAACAAAAAAATTTGAACAAAGCATATTTATTGTTCGATTAAAGAATATAATTAAAAATAGAAGGGGTAAATAATGTTTAATCAATTGTTTATTTATAAAATATATTTCACGTAAATTAATTTATTCCTTCGTATTAATACTCTAGCGTTTCAAAAGGTTCTGACCTGGATAAAAAATATCAAATATCTATGATATCTCAAAATATATAATTATCAAAGCTAAACCAAATTAAAATAATAAATATTTTTAATTGTTATTGTAATTTTGGAAAGTGGGATTTCTTTAACCCCTGCTCTACTAAATAACCAACAACCACAAAGATATGACTGAAATTGTCAATTTTTATTAGACACTATATTGATATTTTTCTCATGCTCTATGTAGTTCTGGTTATAATAGCTCAACATAATCATCTATCATCCCCCCTTCTCATGATTCTTGTTGACTAAATATATTGACTATATGTAAACTTCAATATTCACCCCCCCCCCCCTGAATTTCACTTATTTTAATGACGCAATTTAAACCCTTTGATCCCCAAGTTCTATGATTAAAAATTGAATGCCAATTATAGATTATTACGAACAATATTACTGTTTTATTCAAAAATTTGACATGATTCATAAACAATTTATGGAATTGTTTTCGTGTAAAAACGGATTTTTTTTAAATTGATAACGAAAAAATATTAAATATCCATAAATATCTTTATCCTTACCAAGTGAAATGTTTTATGTTATGATTTATGTCAGTAAGGAGCTGAATTAAAGAAAGTTGAAAGGCCATATTTAGCAAAAGAAATTATATATGTGTTAAGATTCAAATTACATAAATAAAATTATATACGATGAAATATGATATAGTAGAGGGGGTCAATTTTTTTGTACAATATCTATATAGCAATGTTATATATGAAGCTGAAAAATAATGGGAGGATTTGGTCGTCAAATATATTAGAAAAATGAATCGTGATTTGTAGAATTTATTTGCATCAATTCATAAAGAACTATTTAAGTGTTGCGATTCATAAATTTTAGGATCAAATTGTTACTTATATATATATACTAATTAACACATTTTTTAAAACATTTGGAAATATCGTATTTGTTAATATGCTTTTTGGAACTGACCTAAAAATAATTCTTATTCAGAAAACTTATTAAATAACATCTAGATTGAGAAATAATCCAAAAGATATGTTAGGTGCTTTAAATGATTCTCCCATAATGTTAAAATAATATTTTTTTTGCAAATATCGAGAACTAAGACTAATATTATCATTTTTTTTTTAAATTTGAAATCTGCCAAAAATATTTGCTTGCTGTAGTGATTAATTTATATATATATTTAAAAATGACTATTTTGAATAAAAAAAATTAATCGATAGATGATTTTAAGAATGGTATAAGAAACAAATATTAATCTTCTAAATTTCTTAAATATCGAATAACTAATTTATTTTATAAAGATAATAAATTAGTCAACACAATTATCGATGTCCAATTTTAGATAAAACAATAGTAATTATTATTACAAATATGTAAATTCTCAACATTAAATAAGCATCATAAACCTAAAAATAAATATATAATTCTATATTGCTAATACTTTGCTAAATATAATTTTCTCAATTCTTTATTTCCAAATATAAAAATAAATTTATTGGCGTACGCAGCGGAGGGGGGACAGGGGGACAAATCCCCCCCCCCCCCCAAAGCCAAAAAATGCAGATGCAGGATATATTTTTCAAAAATATTATTGTTTATATTAATTTATATTTGTTAATATTTATTCGTATCTCATATTAAATATAAATTTTATTACATTTATATTATCACATTCATAAGTTATTTTATCAATTAATTTCGATTTCAAGTTTCCCGGCGTAATATTTACTAATTATTTTCAAATTTTTAGTGGCGTAATATTTATCTACCATTTTCAAATTTCTAGTCAAATAATAATTATTTCTGAAACTTCTGGTCCAACAGGGAAAAAGAAATTGCAACCTTGTCCAACGAGATAGAGCCTCTTCCATCAAGCACTAAAAGCTATTAAGAGTTAGAAGAGCCAATTATTACTGAAATATCAAAATGGCCTGAAAGAAATATTTACTCAGAAGCAAGAAAATTATTTGATTCAATGCTTATTTCAAATTTTATATCTCATTAGAATGTATTATTGAATTATACAACTTCTAAAGCAGAGCTATGCGTGTTTAATATTTGTCTCCCTCGACTTGTAGCAAGGCAAGCTCATCGTTAAAACATTAATATAGGATCAGTAGAAGAGTATATCTTAAATACAGATACATTTATAACCCAAATAAATGAATTTTAAATTCATCATGCAGCACTTACTAATCTGCAAATATTACTTCCACAAAAGCCTTCCCAACCTTTTTCAGATGGTGATAGAAAAAAAAATATTTGTTAGATTTTTATTATGAAGATGTATGCCTTACTAGCTGAATAACTATGTTTATAAGATTAACTATAGTTGATATATTTCCAAAAAATGCTATGGATGCTCTGCATTATTTCAAACACATTTTAGATTAAATTCCCAATGTATTAAATGGGTTTATAAACTCTTCCCATTAGTAAACTAATGAGAGAACACTCTCTTTTTTAAGAAGAATAACAGAGGCCTGCAGAAGTACCATTTTCAGGGCACTGCCCGGATTTTTTTTAAAGATTTTTTACGGCCCGGCCTGGGTTTTTTTTAAAAAAATTTCAGGCCCGGCCAGGCTTTTTTTAAAAAATTTTTAGGCCCGGCTCGGCTTCTTTTTAAAATTTTCAGGCTCGGCCCGGCTTTTTTTTTAAATAAAATTTTCAGGCCCGGCCCGGATTTTTTTAAAATAAATTATATTTATTTTTGAATTTTATAGCTAATAATAACGATTTCTAATATAGGCTGTTTTAAAAAATACAGCCCGGCCTGGGTGTTTTTTAAAAAATAATTCAGGCCCGGCTTAGGTGTTTTTTTAAAAATATTCAAGTCCGGCCCGGGTGTTTTTTAAAAAAATTTCGGGCCCGGCCCGGGTATATTTAAAAAAATTACTGCAGGTCTCTGAAAAACATACCAAGAAGTACAACATGTGAAAGTAGATTGAAAGGTTTGGATCTTGTGAATATTCATAGGCATTTGACGACAAGCAAGGATGAGATAATTGAAAAATTAGTTCAATCCCAACGAAGATTGGATTTTACATTGTAAATATATTACATACAAAATACAATTATTCCTAAGAAACTTTTTGTGTAAAGGCTCAAAAAATTCAAATTTCTATTTTGGGCCATTTAAGTGATTCTTTACATATAATTTTTTTATAATTCACATTAATTTAAAATTGTGTATTACGAATAGTTATTAGTCCTAATAAATTTAGGCTTGATATTTTTAAAAAACAATAATATTTCTTAAAAAAATTTATTATCCCCCCCCCCCCCCAGACCAAATTCCTGCGTACGCGCCTGAATAAATCATGATTAATAACAAAGAAAAAAAAATTGTTATATATCTTTTATGTGAAATCAAATTTGGCAAGATTCTCTCAAAGATAAAAATAACCTAATCTTGTTTCTCAAATGGGCGGAGTTAAATATAGTAAAAAAAAGTGTGGTAGCTTTTATTTATGTATCAATGGTAAATTCGTGGAAGTTTATGGAATACAGTTAATAATTGATTATAAAAAATCATTGCTTACATTTTGGCTGGAAATAACTACGACACTTTTATAAACTCTTAGTAAATGAAACAGTACTTTTTCCTTACTAACGGAAAAAACAAATTTTTTTATGTATTTAAAGATGAATACCGATAACTCAAATATATATAACATATGTCATATACCAATATTTTTAAAAATTTTTATACAGCATAGAAATTACAATATAGTAGGGCAATACTTGTGGGAGCATTTTGTCAAAATCATCATAGGCCCGAAAATAATTGTTACATGAATTTACAAAATACCATGAGATATCCTAAGCATTATACATTGATAAATTTTTAAAATATTTACTTATTTCTCAAGATTAATTCTAGGGTTAATTTTTCCGCTAAAAAGCCCCAAACCCGGAGCTTATGATTCAATTATTTTACTAAGTATCCTATAGAATTAAAATTATTGTTCTATTATTTTAAGGACAAGTTTTATTGATATAGATATAATTTATGTAAAAATAATTGATATTAAAATGACGAAATATGACCTTATTAGAATTATGTGTAAAATTTTTAATTAATTTTTTCCTAATTCTATTAATTATCATATATAATTGATTATAATATATCATATAAGCATAATTTTAGTTACTAATATAATTAATACCTTCTAAAAATATATTTAAACATGATATAAATGACATATAATGTCATTGCATGATATACGATTATGAAACTTTCTGATTTTCGAAACGAGTGTTTTTGATTTTATGTAATATTAATTTTATTATTTTTAAACTCCTTCGTATTTTCATAACACCTAATATTGTGTAGTTTTAAAAACATTTTGTTTTTTGACTAAAAATCATATTTTATCATAAAAAAATTTAAATTGATCAGAGCTATAAAATATTTTTCGCCTTAAATATATATAATTATACAATGTTATTACATAATTAAAATTTGAACTTCTAAACATTTCTTGTTTTTTAATAAAATCAGCTGAACTAACTAGCCCTTTGCGCCGACTAGCCCTAGTCTTTCCTATCTAAGTAAAATATATCGATAAATTTTAAAATCTATATAGTATACCGATTCTATCCAATGATGATCTTGTTTATACACCCAGCGTCTACATGAGCGGGGGGGGGGAAGGGGGGGTAGGAACAGTTTGCATCCTAATATCTATAAAGGGGTAAAGGGTAGGGGGTAGGCATTTTGGGGGGTAGGCTAATCTAGAAAATTTTCCATTACATTTTTAAATTATCTATGGATAACATTTTGGTATATAGGGGGATAGATATATATTTTTGAGAGGGGTTTGCATCCAGTAAATATACTGTCATGTAGATGCTGTATACACCACTAGCGGTAAACGTTGCAGATATGCTACAGATCGCAATTCCATAAACAAAATTTCAAAAAAATCAAGATTTTTATGAACTGGCGAAAGTGTGACCATTAATGAGTTTAATAATAATAATTGATTTTTAAATATATAGCATAAACTTGTTTTACCATTTTCTATTGTCAACCCATTTCTGGATTATTAATTTTGATCGTCTTGCCAAATTTAAAATTTACCTATAGAAATTGTCTGCTTACTTCATAAATTATACTTTAATAATGGATAATATTTATATCATAGACGTAGAAAGGGGCAAGGGAAATCTCCCTCTTTTCAAAAATTTGCCGCTTGTTAATATAATTTTAAGCAAATAAATATTTACCTCCATCCCACCACATAATATTCCACTATAAAGAATAATTTGAACTAATAGATTCTCCACCCTTCTCTCTAGCAAAATCCGGGTTACGCCTAAGTTTCAGTTACCTTTTGTGAGTTATATATTCCAGATTTGATAGCAATTCTCTGAAGATATATGAGAGGCGTGGACAATTAAAAATTAGAATTATAACTAAAGGAGTGCGATTAATAAATGATATTGACGATATAAAAAAGATTTTGTTTTTTCTTATAAAAAATATTTATAACTCCACCATATAATTGCTTTTCTGATATATGTATTTGTATATATATATATATTTACTATATACATATTAATATAATACAAAAGTAAATAACACATTATTTTGAAACTTATAAAAGATTTAACTGGTAAAATTTGACAATTTTGTTTTATTTGAAATAGCCCAATCTGGGAATTCATTCACTTTTAATACCAATATTCCATAACTGTTGATAAATACATAAGTCACAACTATACATATTAAATGTACTACTATGCCCGGTTTCACCTAAATGAACAAATATTTTAAAATATATAAAAGTGAATATATCATTACTTTCTATAACAATTAAGCTGAAGTTGTGAATATTTAAAATATACTATATTACAGTCCTACACTATTTTTATCTCCTTATAATACTTAAAGTATATGCCCTACAGTTATAATGACTATATCAAAAAAACTTGTTAAAATATATTTTAAGCAATATTACGCCGAATATGTATTTTTTTTGATTTTGTCAACAATCGATGTTTAATAAAAAAAGAAATGAATATAAATTATGATATCATACCATGTCAAAAAATTTCAATTTTCCGGCCGAATAGATAATCGCATTAGGAGCAGTTCCAATAGGTAGCATGAAGCAGTAAGAGGCAGACAATGTAGCGGGGAACATAAAGTATATAGGGTTAACTTTGATATTAAGAGCCTATGTTTTATGAAATGTAATTTCTTTAAATTTTGTAATATATAGCAAACCCATAGACAATATATATTCACTTTAATAATTAGATAATTAATTCACCTATTGTGATAACTATATCAGAGTTAGAATTAAACTAATGCGAAAATAGTAATTTGGTATATTAAGTCATGACATAAAAATTTCACACGTGGAATTATTTTATTTTTAAATTTTCTACTATGATTTTATTTAAAAAAACTGACTAAAATTAGATTCTCAAAAAGGGAAAATGTTTAAACAATTACAATTTTCATATCAACAAATTAAATTAAAAAAATGTTTTTAGGTTCCACACACAAACCTTACAAAGTCTAGCAACGATACAAATGTGAAAAATAACTATCTGAATCAAGTAACTAGGTTAAACCATTATGCACGCCGGCAAATGAAACTCTTCGGCATTATATAATATATATAAAGATGCAACATATGTTTTTTTAATAAGTTAGCTATATTAGAAATATTATTATATTAAAAACACCACTTTATCTAGAAAGAATCGAAAATTTAGTCCCCAATTGTGTTCGAATTGACATGTTATAGTGATTATATATAATTCTATATATTTAAGGTATAAATATTTGTTATATATGGAGTGTATATATTTACTATTTCGGATATTATCGGTAGCAATATGCTAGCTGTGGCAATATTATTGAGCATTTCAGTGACACAGGAAGTTAAAATAGAAAATGTAAGGCCGAGAAGTTGCTTTGGAAATAAACGAAATACGTCTAAGTATTTTACCAGCAATTTTGAGAGCCCGGATTTCTATCATGGGGGAAAAAAATTATTCACCAAATGTAAAACACTTATTCAGATTAACTGTAACATATAAATTTGTTATATATGATTGTAAGATAAAAAATAATTGAAGTAACCTCAAATCCATCTGCCATAGCTAATCCACCCCCTAATAACAAATTGATATCCCACATCAAATCACGATAAATGTCTCTCCATATTAACAAAGGTTGATAATCAGGAATCTCTCCTATAAAATATTAATGAAAGTGTTTCACTTCTTTTTTTTTAATTTAAAGGCCTTTTTTCAGTATTCTATTATAATTCTAAGGATTTGGTTTCAAAGGGCTGTTAAATAGATTTAAAAATCTCTGTTAATAGTTTAAATCTAGACAAATTAAAAAATTTTTTATGAAAACTTCCCTAATTACTCTAAATTTATTGATTCTATGGTTTCCACTAACATTCGGTGCTTTTCAAATTCCATCACAGGATCCATTAAGATGATTCTTTAGATCCTTTAACTTCGACTTAATTCTATGGAATGTAGATAATGGATGCGGGTTATCTTGGGGTTTTCCCTCTAATTTGCTTTTCAAACAGCAAAGCCATAGATTTAGTTTGCTAAATATTGTGCAACACGATAACTCCTTCAGCTAATAATTATTACTGATAAATTAAAGTTAAATTTTAAATCTTTTTTAAAAAAAAGTATTAAGGCTCTCAAGTACCAACAAATTCTGGTGAGATGGATCTTTTCCCACTCCATCTTATATCATTATCTTCTGTCGCCTCCAGATTGATAATTAATTCTATGATCATCACCAATTTACCTTTTACTAAGCAATAAAAGAAAGTATTTTGGTAAACATTCTTTATCCATCAGTGATTAATCATATTTCCAATCACTACCAAATTTTCCTTTAGATTCGTTATAACTCCTTTAGCCCGACCCCACAGGCTAGGAGGCCTAAAAGATGTTCATATCTCAAAAATTCTCGAAAGTACCAATTTATCAGAGGATTGTCAGAGTTTACATTCCCTCGTGAGTCAGGAAAATATATTTCGTAATTAATTTGTGTCTCGTCTTTCGCATCAGACAAAATTCGAATCTTTTACTAACAGCTCGAAACAAGATAAATAAATCAATATAGGGATAAAAACTACATGTTCACTCCAATCTTTAACAACTAACGGACATTTTTCTCCCTTAACATACAAATTTTTAAAACTTTTATGCTTAACGTTCATATAATCATTATTTTTTATTATATGCATTTGATTTTTAATTAAAATTTATGTGATTTGATTTTGGAATTTTAATATATATTTTTTTTTAATCTAGTATTTTTATATACATTACAATATGTGTTTTCTTAATAAAACATTTACTAATGAACTAAGAGAATCTCTAAACAAAAAAATGGAAATTAATTTGTTCATATACAACTGGCTCCTTTGTGAAAACCGAATAATTAATAAATAGTTGGCTATGATATTTTAACTGTTCATAATAAGCTTTTTATATATAGGAAATATGATGTGTGAGATGTTCTGTGATATACAATTTTTAATTGTATTTTATTAATTTTAAATATATTTTATTAATTTTTAAATATAATAATGGCGATTTAAAATGTTCGGCCCGGCCAGAAGTGGGTATTTAAATTTTAACATTCTTTCTAATTTAAAATAAAATTATTATTCACAACAAAGTGTCTATTTAACTTTGGCTCTCAGAAATTGAATAAATTATTATATATAATAAAAACTAAAGGAATTTTTATATTATTTTACCATTATCATCTTTGATGAAAAGCACGGACCTAAAATCGGTTGGTAGTATGAATAGTAGAAAAGCCATTAGTAGCGCGGGCGTCGCATCAGAGACATATCTTTAAACATTTTAATGTATTTAAAAGATTTTTTTTTTTTATTAGAAAATAGAAATACTTTTTTTCAAAGTAAACTTGCCATCCTGAAATAAATCTTGGGTCCTTCAAAACCCACAAACCGACTAGCGTGACAAATAAGCATAAAATTGTGATTTCATTTTGCCTTTAAAATACATTTATAATAAAAAATGCATACAAATACGATTATATAGATAAATATTTTAATTTTCCAAAAAAAAAATCGATATTTTATATAATTGATAAAATATTTTCAGCCTTAAATGTGTTGTTAAACGAAACGGCTAACTTAATATTTCATCCAGAATAATATTACGTAAGCCTGCTTGTAGAAGCAATAAAGGTTTGAACATCTACTAACGAAATCGCTTAGGCAATATTATTTTGGCTAAATTATTGAGCTTACCCTTTTTAAAAATCGGCTCAATACGAGCCATATTTAACAACACTACTTAAATCAACAAAAAATAATAAAAAAATTTTATAGACTTTGTGCCACTTATTTAATAATATAACGAAATATAGGAAGTGAAATTGTATATTAATATACCTAATTTTTCCTAATCCCTTTAGTTGTTCTCTGATGAACGATCTAGGGTCGTCCTTAAATTTCTTATTTCCCATTTGCCGAAATGTTTCTCTATATTAAGAAATATATAAATTAAATAAATTTAGTTTATATTAAGAATGTGAAAATATTCGTATTAATATGGGTAAAAATAAATTAATGGATAGGTGTCTATAATTATTTCAATAGCAAATATTCTATATGTGAGACGGTTAAAAACATGTAAAGATAATATATACATTGATGTGGATTATATAATGAAATTCATGTTTCAGTAAAAAATATTTTACTTTATTCCTATGAAGTAAAAGCATAATTGCATCCATGTTAAAATTATGATGATGAGTGCACCAGGAAAGGAATATATAAACCAATTCATAAAACTTATTTCAGCTATGGGTGAAAATAAACTGTATTTTTAAAAAAGAAATGTTTTATTATTGTAAAATATCATTTGTAGTTTGAATTTATCTCCTTTTCAGATTTTTCGTTATGTTTTATCATAAAAGGTCTAAACAAAATTATATACTCCCCACCCCCGAATAAAATTTATATGGTCTTAATATAAATTTTTTTTAAAAAATTAGTATTTTTTGCTATTTTAATTGATTTAAAAATTTTATTATAAAATAATATTAATTTGTTCCTGATATTTAAGAAATGTATAAAGTTTTATAGAACCAATAAAATATTACAGGAGCTATATAAATAAAAGAGTAAAAAAAATTGATAAAACATAATTGGGTTCCAAAAAAGGAATAATAGTTAAATTTAAACATTTTTATTTGTATGTTCTGCCTAAGGAATAAGAATTCCTTAGGTTTCAAGTGTTTGTGATTTAATTTTGTGAGCTAATTTTGAAAAAAAAACTAAATGTGATAGGAAGCAAACTGTCCGTTGGTAAAATTTACGATTGGCGAGAATATAAAATTGCTGAGGGTTTTCTATTTTTTTAGTCTCTGCTAGAATAAGCAGGTTGCTATTTATATTGATGGGTAAGGATGAGACCGTGTATGATTTTAAATAAGGAATTTCCCCATAGTCCAGTGGGTAATTCAGGTCTTAGACCCACATCTATAGAAGGATTACAAGGTTATAGAATATTAGGTTATACGAACCTTTATTTAAAAGGATGCTTATAATTTAAATATCTAAGAGAGTCGTTGATGTCGACTTTGACATTTAATGCAAATTAAGAACATGTCTTCCCCTAGTATTTACTATTTACTAGGAAATCGCTGTTTATGCAATGATGAGACTGACTTAGGTTGCATCCGAGTCAATATCCTATGGACACTCTTAGTTATTTATAGGTTAAGAGATTTAGAGTCGTCTTGATATTTTTAATAACAACCTAACGTTCAGGTTTCCAAAAGGGTAGGAGAATGGGCTTATCCCAAGATATGATTTATATATACGTATAATATTTACACATTTAAAAATCCGGTCATTATCAAATTAGGAGGTGTGCCAGTTAGGGATGCCGTTCCACCTATATTGCAAGCATAAGCGATCCCTATAAAGATACACTTGTGAAGGTTTTGCAATTCATCATCGTTCCTATAAATATTATTTTTATTTAAAATAAGTATCTTACACCGAGTTATTTATTTATGATTATGCCTTAACATGTTTTACGTAATTAAACTGTTATTTTAAAAATATGTTAAAAATAATTACATAAATATTACAAATAAATGTGAAGAGAGTAAAATATCATTATTGTATGACAATTATATTCTTTCATTCTTTTTTTTTACTTTGACAAGCTGGAGTTGGAATCACTTAAATCTTCTTTATCTTTGATATCGTTGATGATAACTCGCGTTTGTTCTAGTATCAAATACAAATTTATATTTAAAATAAGTAATAATAAGTCTAAAAAAACTAGAACACTTTGTATAATATAGTAATAAAATGATATATTTTCTTATCTAAACAATGATAATCTATTTTTTTTTAACCTATGAACAAAAATATTGGATATTGATTGGTTTGTTATATAATAAGTAATCTAAATTTAATATATATTTTCTTAAATAAGATTCCTACTAGCGCAAACATAGATAATCTGATTAACACATATTATTAATATTATTATATTATGTTTCAGTAATATTTATCGCAAAATATCACTTAAAATATTAAAATAATTTACCGGTAATTTTTTTAGGGGTTTTAATGGTATAGGTTAAAAAATGTAGTTTACCGATGCAATATAAGATATATATTATTAAATTCTAAGCATGTAAAATTGGACGACATAATAAATCGTCGTGTCTTAGAAACTATTCCCCCCCCCCACCTTCCTCTCATAACATTGATAATTCAATTTGCTTGATTAAATTTTATATAATTAATAAAGAGGATAAATTAAAAACCGTTTTCTTTTTCGTTAAACAATTCGTGTTTCGAAGAAATCGCAATGACTTTATTGACCACCGAAACTTTTTTGAATTTATTATATTCTTCCATTACCCCAATAGCAACTGGTGCCATCAAAACTGCGGTAGCCGAGTTATTTATCCAAATGGATATAAAAAATGTCGACATTATGAATCCCGAGACCATCCTTTTTTTAATCGTAAGAATATATCAAGAGCAATAAATTTTGACAATTAGCGAATCTTTTGAATTATAACTAATTAAACTTTGCTATATATAAAATCAATTTATATAGTATTTTTAGTCTTTCTCAAATTTTTTATACAATGTCTGGGTTAAAAAAAAAGTTAAACTTAAAATAATTAACTCACATCTTAAAGCTAGTAAATTTTTCTAGATCAACTCAAATATATCCATTTTAAACCAATACTCAACTGCCACTATAGGCGTAGCCAAGGGGGGGGGGCAAGGAGAATTTCCCCCCCCCCTTCAGAAATTTCTCACTTTTTGTAAATATCATTTTTAGCTAATAAAAAATATCCCCCTTAGTCCTCCCCCCACTCCTTGACCCTCAAATATGTATGCATATATCTTAAATAATAATTTAAAAGAAAGAATGTAAAAGTTGATATTTTTTTATAAAACTATTCATATTTATAGATTTTTGGGAAAATAAATTTATAAATATATAAAATGAACCAAAAATGTTTTTTAATAAATGGCATATAAGCCAAAGATAAGTCTTAAGACAGAAGTGAAATGTATTATAATTATTAATAATAGATCCATAAAATTACTAAATAATATAATATACAATGATAATCATTGATAATATATCAAATATAATTTTTTATAAAGTAAGTAATTTTAATTTATTTATCTTAATAAAAGTAAAATATAATTATAAAACTATTGATAAAATTAAATCATAAATTAAAAAAATATTAAAGCACAATATAAACAGTGGAATATTATATGTCGTAGATATACAGTATATCTAATTATCAAATGACAATCAAGTAATTTTACCAATATAGCGAATTATATATTTTACAGAAAACTATAAAATATTGATAAGGACATCAGAAAATATCTTTTAAAGACATTGTAAGATGAATAATATGAAGATTAAATTTAAATATCATTTTTACTTAAATAAATAGATGGCGTTAAATAATTGAATGCATATTGTTGCTATATTTAATATCAAGAGCATTGATTAGTAAAATTTGTTAGATTATTAACTGTAATATATTCTCTAACTGTCAAATATGTCTGTAAAAGTGGAATTTTACCTAGTAGTTTATAACTAATTCTATATAATAGAGTAAAATCAACTATATGTCTACTTACTTTTTATAAATAAATTTCTTATAATTGTTTGGAATAAATGATTACCATGCTTTTATATGAAGGTATATACAATACAAGTAATTATTATATTTTTAACTAATAAAAATATATTTCATATTTGTTCCAAGCTTATTATTTGTAAAAATATTTTATGATTATATATAGACTAAAGTAACCCGGCCGAAGGCCGGGGAAAAGCGGGCCTGGAGGTCTGGGGGCGAAGCCCCCAGTAATTTTTTAATTCCCCCCCCTTATGAAAATCCTGGCTACGCCTATGACTGCCACTAATAACTGATTACGGATGATAGCTTAGTTTTGTCGATTTTTATATAAGTAATTTCTTTAAATATTTGTATACCATATAGGCTTAGAACCCGAATACATCAACAAATTTAGGGCTATTCTTTTGTGCAAATTGGCCGATTGGATACCTTTAGCCAATATGACAGATGCGAAGAATAATAGAATAGGATCCTGGTAACAGAAAAAGAAACAAGATTATTTGTGAAATTCAATATAACTTAATTTTTTTATTTGATAAATTGATAATAACACTTATAAAACCCGTCTAATTACATCCTTCAGAAACCTGCGCGACAAATTTGTCAAGCCATCTAGGATTTTTAAAAATCTTTATTTCATGCCAGGGTCAGTCTAGTTTCTAATAATTTGGGTCATTTTAATTAATTTTAGCTTTTATATTGTAAATGGTTTTAAACGAAAATTGAAAACGAGAAGTGAATGAATAAAAGATTCATGACTTAATTTTTCGTACAGTTAATTAGTTGATGAAAATATATCTTAAAAAGATTTAGCCCAGTTTCGGTTACATTTATCTTCCGGATATCCATGAATTGGCCTGCAGGTATTAGATATCTTATAATATTATTGTAGATTATTTATCTCAAAATTTAGAAGGAACTGTAAATCATTATATTTTAATTATCTAAAAACGAAACAAACATTACGAAGTAATCATACCTAGTATTGCTGTTAACGGCTCAATTTGAGCCTATTTTTGAATCCCGCTAACTCAATATTTTATCCAGATTACACAAGCCTGAAGATTTTTCTCATAGACGGCACAAAGATCTGAACATCCTCGAGGCTTAGAGCAATATCTTTCGACTAATATATTTTAGCCGTTTTTAAAAATCGCCTCAAAACGAGCCGTAGAGCAACACAAATATCATATCTAGGATAGATAAATATTCGCAATTGGAGGTTGGTTTGTGAACTAAAATAAAGGAGAAAAGTAAGTACACCCCAGCCTTTTCCAATTTTTACTAATAATGATTTATGTTTAAAATTATTACCTTAAAGTAGACTGATGATACTTCTTTAACCGTCAATACACTTACCATGGGAAATAACAAAGCTGGAATTAGAGATGAAAGGGCTAAAGGAAGAGCTTGGGTTATTAGGAAAGCTATGGTCACCAGACAGACATAGGCACATTTTATTTCCTGACTCGAAAATAAATGTATAATTTTTTTTATCTATATATTTTAAAACAATTATTATACAATATATGAATTAGTTTAGGATTATTTTACCATCAATGACATATAATAAGTGCTCTACATGTAAAATTGATATATAGGGTGCGCTATTTCTCCAAAATAAGCAAAAAAAGAAAACTTTTTTTTACCAAATTCCTAAAAGGAACGCATCAAACTTTATTGATTCCTAAAACTAGTGCAAATTTTCCTTTAAAATATTTTGATGTTATTTATCAATTTTTTTGGAAATTTGTATATAGTTTTAACTTTTATTATGATCTATTTTGTTTTAAAGAAAATTAATCAACCAATTACATTTTACTTATTTCTATATGAGTTTTTTTTTTCAAATTTGGGGGAACATTCAAAATCTAAATAAATTTATAATATATTGTGTCTGTACAACAACCTTTAAAAATCCTTCCCTTCAATCATAATCATAACCTATATATAGAGGAGACTGGGGTTAGTCGAACCTATATTTGCACAATCAGTTTTCTGTTTTTTTTAATATTATAAAGAACAATATATGAATCGATATAACTATAAGTGCCTTATAAATAATTTTAAGAATATAATCATATTTTTAAAATTTTATTTGCGAAAGTTGAAAATTTTTTCATACTTGTAATAAAAAGATTCATTTCATTGGTTTTATATTTTATATTGTACATTACAATTTTTTTTAAAAAATAAAAGCAGATTCATATTTAGCTCATTAAATGGATACAGAAAATGTTTTTTTTTGATTTAAAAACAAGTGGTAACAGTAAAATTTTGAAAAAACACTTTTTTTCTTCATTTTTTGACTAAAATGCGCGTCCCCGGTCAAGATAGATTATTTTTATAAAAATGAATATAGAATCGTGTATAGTTTTTCAAGGAGATTCCGAAAATGGTATTAATAATTTTTTTTTTAAAAAATAATACTTTATCGTTTCGCCATTTTTAAGTAAAATAAGTAGCTTTTGTATAATTGATAGCAAGAGACTTAAATAAACCAAAGAAAATTTATCCTGAGATGATTCCAATTAGACGCAGAAAGGTTTTGGTGATAAAAACTGATTTCGCTTGATTATTCAATTGTGGGAAATTTTGTAGTACAAAAGCCAGGTGAAGCCTTATGACAATTTTAAAACGGGATCCTCAAATTTCCAAATATTTTTATGTTATTGACTTATATGACAGGTAAAGCTAACTAACATGTGTCTATCTGGAAGAATTATTAATTAAGTCAAATATCAAGATATTTTATGGAATGAGCTTGTTGATTTGACTAATATATGGTTTTCGGAATCTTAATATCAAAATCAACCAAAGATTATTAATCAGACAGCAATATGGCTTACATGTACCTAAAAACACATATGACTGGATAACTAAGGTAAATTATTTGATGACAAATTTTTCAAAAGAGAGGTGTGAAACCTTTCTTTTAACTCTGCCTAAAAGAATTAAGGCCTCTATTAGTTTTAGCTACGTATGTAACCTAGTGTTAGAGCTGAAATGGCAACAATTTTAATTTCTTAAATGTTTTAATAGTGGTTTATTTTGATTAAATACTATCTCCTCCAATGTATCATATCTTGAATTTTTTTTTAAATAAAAATTATAATATAGCTGATTTCCATTTTCTAAATATTCTCTGTGCTATTTATATATTTCGAAAATTAACACTTGATATGAATTTCGTATTCGTCCAATCATAATTTACATAGAAATAATAACATAATCATGCTATTCGATTCGATTCTTCACAAAAAATTCCTTCTAAGAGATATAAGATCAATTAATTTTTATTGAGTAGAAGAAAAAAAAATAGTAAAAAAAACAAATGAATTTATATAGCAAAATTAATATATTATTAGATAAATCAACTTAAAAATATTAATTATTGTCATTTTGGAATAAATTTTGTTCTCCCATATCCGACATAATAAATCAATTGTTATAACCAGCTAGTTTATCATGTTTTTGCATCAAAATGCTTTAAAATATTGAAATAAAAAGTTTCTCGTTCTTCCACTGGAAACAAATTTAAATCATTTTGGTTTTAATGACTTTTATAAATAAATTGAGCTCTGAAATATTTTTAAAAGTTTAATTTTTTTAATATTTATTCATGGAAAAAACCAAAATGGTGTAAACAGCTGATTTGTATTTATATACACATTTAAATGAACGACTTTAGTATTATATTCCATACAGATTATAAAGGTGTAAATTAAATATCTATTTAGAAATTACGTTAATCGGTAACGATAATTTGTTTATTTGTACCGAAAAATAAATAGTACCCCTCCTTTCTTTAAAATAGGGTATGCCCTAGGGCTAAACAGAAATAAGTTTTTTTCAAAAATAATACGAACCAGGACATGGCCTTATTATATTTATAGAAAAATTAAAAATGCCTTTTTATTTTATAAGCATTGATTTGTTGTATCTGACACATCAGGTCGAAGCACTTTTATATAAAATATTATTTAAATACTTGATATCAAAAATTTAATAACTTTTTTGAGAAAATATTAAAATTTTTTTTAATTAGAATTGCTTTATTATATTAAAAGGTAGGCGGAAAATAATTCCCCGGAAACAAAAATCTTTTCTCTAAATTTATTTGAAGATTTTTATTCCATCGATGAGGGAATTTTTTTTCTCCTTATATTAGAAAACTGGGATAGGATTATAGAGAAAATTTGCTATCTAAATATATTATGGAAAAAAATGCTATAAAAAAAATCTATTAATAAAAATGTTTGTTTCAAGAACAGCACTACTAACCTATTTAGATGCCAAAAATATATATTTATTTAAATAATCACATAAAAAAGAGATAAATTATACCTTAGACTTGTAAGATATAATCAAGGGCGAGAATATTATGGGTATGAGAAGAGAGATGTAGAAATTTTTTATCTTCATAACACGTTTCAGAACACTTTTCAGCGAATGAATAATGGAATACTCACTTTTGACTTCAATCCTCTGCTGAATCGAATCGAATTCTAACATGGTTAAATCTTATATATGTTAAAATATTTTAGTTTAATATAAGAACCCTGAATTATGTCTTATTTAGGATAAGAAAAAGAGGATGAAAAAAAAATACCTTAATTTATTTATTTAAATAATCTAGAGTAATTCATCTTATTATTATTATTTTTTTGTTGAAAATTTTATGAAAAATATTTGAGAAAATTTTACACTTTACAAAAAGAAGAGGTATAAAAAATGTCCTTCTTGTAAAGATTGTTGAAATTATCAAAATAGTTTTTTATAATAGATATACCAAAATTTATGTAAGAAAATTTAAAAAAATTTAAATTTTTTTTATTTTTCTATAAAAAAAATTTGTAGATTATCGTATGATTTTTTTTTGTTTTGCTATATTTAAAAAAAAAGGTATGAAATGTTTATTAATATAATATAATATATATAATAATTAGCATTCCCAAACTATACCTTTAAAATGTAATCAAGTTCGAGGTTTTGTACAAATATTATTTTTTCTCTATCAGTTTTTTAAGAAAATAAAAAACAGAGTTAATTTATAATTCTATATAATCGTCGGTCCTATAATAGGATAGGTAGGTGTTATATACAAATAAAAAACACACCCCCCTTAAAAAAAAATAATAAAATAAACAAATGTATTTTATATATTTTTAAAAGGTGTTTTATTTATCACGTTTTGTTTCTATCTCGTTTTTTTGTACACATTATTTTGAAAATTTTTTTCCAAAAGATAATGTCCTTTCTAATTTAGGCAGCAGGGGAAAATGACATTTAGTTTTTTTTGAAAATAGTTCATTTTAATTTGTTAAAAAAAACATATATTTGTGTGCCCAAATAAGTTATGAATATATTGGTAGTTTAAAAATTATGATTGGATATGAAAATAATTTTAAATCTTACCCTTTGGGCATTAGATTCATTTTCCTTTTTTTTTGTAATTATCTCACAACATACATATAAATGTGTATAAAAAATTGGCAGGGGTAATTTTTACATACATAGATTTTAATATATTATAGGTAATAATAAAATACTTTTCTTACAATCTCAAAATAATAAAATTATATATATGTATATATTTTTTTTCATAATTTAAAAAAAAATCCCCGTAAAAATTAAATAATTTAAAAACAGTTCATCTTATTTTTTTTACTGCCCAATTTTATTTTAAACATATTTTTTTTTCCAAGAATAAAAAAACTAACTTACGTCATTCGTTACCTATAGCCAGGAATTTGCTCTGAGGAAGGGGAGATAGGGAGGCTTATTTATTTTTTTTGATAAAAATATAAAATTATTTTATTTTTTTTTTAAATTTCCCTTTAAGTGTATTATTTTCTAAATTTATTTATTGATAAAGAAATTTTTTTTAACTAAATTGGATTTTAATTAAGAGAAATTATACGGGGGAGGGATAACAAAATATCAAATATTGGAAATATAGATTAATGTGTCAGGCAGGAATCTAACCCGAACCGGTGGTAATAACCGTTATTTACACTCACTCACCAAACCGCCATAAAGGTTGAATCGATTTGAAGTCGATTCTTATGCTTATAAAATGATCAAAGCGTTTTCGTGGTATATTATCGGTATATTATTATACTAATAAAGTATTTATTTTATTTTCAACTAAAATTTTCATTTGAACATCGCCATTTAGTATACATTATAGTTGTATATTGTTATCTACCGGTGTGCCAGTTGCCCAAATTAGAGATAGACGCTTGCTTATCAAATATATAAATATTTATACTTTCTGCATACCTAACACCTTAATTTTACTAAACAGAATATTAAAAATATAATCAATTGATTTTGCTCTTAGATGGCCGAATTGCCATATCTCGAGGCTTAGATAATATTATTTTGGCTAAAATCTTAATTCGATCATTTTTAAATCGACAGAAATCGGGCTTTTTAAAAATACTACTACTGGACGGCCATTATTCCTATTTGGATCCGAACCAAACCAATATTTATTACATTTCGGATTCCTATACATGTATCATGTGAATGATTGTACCAACGCCTTGCTTTAGTTAGTC